AGTAACTCTTTTCAACAGAAGAGTGTGCTGTTCCCCTGCAGGTTGGAAACTGTGAGAATTTAAATAAAATTTCATCAACCTTATTAAAATATGTAGGGACTTGTGTCTTCTTGGGTGCAAATCAGTCTAGAGACTTAGAAGCATTTATTAACAGTGAGGCTGCTGAAGGTTTTTAATAACAAAATTACAAATACTCTATCTAATTGTAAGTATATGACTTTTATACTTGGTTTTTAAGGGGAAAAATACTTTTTTTTGAGGCAAAGTAACTCCGTCAGAGCACCTTCTGTGATTAGCGCTATTGTATTCTTAAATTTTGATTGATAGAGATAATAGTTTTCACTTAAAAATACAGACAGGTACTTTAACTTTCCATGACAATAGCTATTTGCATTTCTTTTATCTTTTTGTTTAACATTTGTGGGGGTTGGGATGGATTTGATTATTAACTCTTATTGCACACTAAAGGTGAATCTAAAACAAAGGCTTTGTTAGAGCTTCAAAGGGAAAACAGCAAATATTGTTTTTAGGCTTCAACATTTAAAGGCTGTTAAAGGATACCTATAAAATATTTTCACATGACCACGGCCAGGGTTTTCCTTTTCTGTAAGGTAGGAGAGAGTCATTTTTCCAAATGAGATGGGCCGATGTGGAGTTAGTGGGGGGGCTGCCAGTCTGAAGTAATTTCATGGGCAAGCATCGACTGGGGTTTACTGCACCACGTGGCTTCATGTGTAACATTTTAGGTTTTTGCTCTACTAGAATGGACTCCAAAGTTAGGTACTATGATCTGATGAGGGCCCCAGAGGATGAGGAGAAAGGAAGTAAAATGTTACTTGCAGGGATAGGAGGGAGATTTGGAGAATGATGGATTCAAAGTCACACATTTCTTTGATAGAGACAAGTAAAAGAAGTGTAGTGTTTGTGAAGCTGCAAGCCTGGGTAGCGTCCAACTTTGCCTCCGGTCTCAGAGACCCCGACTGCACAGCAGCTTCTTCCTTCCTTTTCTTTCCTGTTTCCTTCCTTTATTCTTTTCCTTTCTTTTTCCCCTGTTTTTCTCTATTTTTTCCTTTCTCCCCTTTTTATTTTCTTCCTTCTTTTCTTTCTTCATTCCCCACCTTCCCCACTTTTTTTCTTTCTTTTTTTTTTTTTTTTTTTTTTTTGCAAATCTGACTCAGTATTTGAAGTCTTAAGGGCATAGAACAAACTTTGAGATTGATTTTGGAGTAGATTTTCTTAAATATGGAAGATAAAGTGACCCTTGTCTTATATTTTTCAATAGTCAAATATATGTCAATGTCCTTGTACTTTCTAAGAAGTCATTGAAAAACAAGATATTAAAGCCCACAGGAGATAAGATTCCCTATTTAAAGAGGCAGCGAATTCTTGGAAATTGGCTTATTTGGACCAGTTTTTGCCAGTGAGTACAAGCCGTTTGATTGGAGGATTTGAGGGTGTGGGAAGTTTGAACCATGTTCCTTCCTCAGTTTCCTAATAAGAAAGTGTCCTCTAGCCATAGACCTACTGAACTGCCCGCCTAATCACCACCCAGGGGTTCACTTTGCTCATCTTTGCATCTTTAATAAGACTGGCACACAAAAGGTTCTCAGCCAGTATTGGGTAGGCTGAAGGTTGAGATGAACTATGTTGGGCATACTTCAGAGTTGCTTTTGCACAGTTATATAAAATTCAGTATAATGGAGAAATCTTAATGCAGATAATTTATTTTAGCTATCAAGAAAGGGAAGGGGAAAATACTATAAACGGGAAAAAACGAGCCGATATTGTTCATTTTCAGTTTTGTGAAATGAGATTGCACCTCCACATTTACCTGCAACTCAGTTCCAAGCAGGACATACTAGTGGACACTGTGTATTATATGTCACACAGATTAAATTAAGGGCAAAATATACCCATAGAAAGTATGATATTGAAACACTATAATAATGTGAGGGTTCTTTAGAATAACAGCCCTAATTCGGGAGGAGGGGTGGTTGGGGAGGCAGAGAAAGAGGAATGTATATTTAGTGTCTGACCCTAGAGTTCACAGTAGAAATTTGTGTCCTGGACATGGTTTTTGTGGTCACTGTGTAGCTTCAGGTAGATGACACTGTTGCAATCAATAGTGAAGAGGCCACGGAACAATTCTAGTGTTCACAGAATCTTAACTGTTGCAGAGAATGACATAAAGGAAAATAAGTAATTTCTGTTTACCGTATCCTTGGCTCACTTTTAAAACCTAAAACCAGTAGGAAACTTAAAAAAGAAAGAGAAAAAGAAAAAAAAAACGCAATTCGTATGGAGACAGCATTTTTTAAAAGAAGACAAGTGGGCTGGAGGGGAATGTATTTCTTTTTTTTTTTTTTTTTTAACCTAAAAGCTTTGCATAATCATTTAATTTTAGTTTTGGTGCTTGTGCTGCCGGTAAGCATACAGGTAAATAGTTGATCTATTTGATAAGTAAAAGTGATTTAAAGAAAATAGCAAATATAGTATTGGAAAGGGAAGTTTTATGCTTTGGAAAAAATGAAACGCATATTTTTCTGCTAGTTGTTGGTTTCCAATTCTTCTAAGCTAGTAATGAGGCAGACTCGGGCCCCAGTACTACCCCCTAATTTTCTTGTCTATTATATTGACACATTTCATTTAATTTAGCATGATGGCAAACAGCTGTTGAACTATTAATCTTTTCTCAGCAAAACTAGAAAAATGTCTTTTAGATTACTTTGTTAATGTATACCTTTTCTAAAAATGAAAATCAACAGAAATAAATTAATGAGTGGCCAATCGTGCATGTGCACCAAAATTTATGGAACTTCAAAATAGAGAAAGATAGAGATTATATCCTACTGCCAATTTTTTATGTGTAAGTGAAAATTAAATGTAGTCAGTTTTGTATTGTTTTAGTATTTATAAATTGGAGGGTCAGTTGTATGATTTTGTTGTAATTCTTCCCCCAGTATCCCTAGGGGAAAAAAATGATACTTGTAAAATCTGAGGTTGAAGCAGCTTCTATTTTTGTTCTGTGTTCACTTACACACTATACTGTGTGGATAGGTGAGTAGAAAAACAGGTCTGGTGTTTACCTGAAAATGTTCTGCAAGTTCAAATGCAGCACTGGAGATAACTTTATTCCAAGTAGGCATTTTCAGCAGTTTTTTTAAAAAATTAAATTTTAATGAGGTCCAGTTGTTTGCCAGGCCTATATGATAGCAAATCTCATCTGCATTGCAAAGTCTAATACTATAGGTCTGACTGCCAAACATGCAAAAATAGACACAGCTCAATAGATAAACATATAAATTAGTTTACAGTGCATGTACTGGAGAACATCTCAAGTAAAAAGGAGAGAGAAAAAGGCATTCTTGCTTTGAATTGAGTAGGATCTGCCAAAGTTCACTTTCTTTACATTTAAGATTCGATGAGTGGTAGATGTAGAAATTTCTGTGTGTGCTTTGTATGTACGGAGCTCTGATTTGTGTAGAGTAGGTCTCTGCAGTTCTTAGCTCTACCTTGAGGACTTGACCATCTTTGCTCTGTTTTTCTTTCTTATCATCGCTTGCCCTGAAATAGACTTCTCACCACTGGAGAAACCAATCTTGGGGACATACATCAGCAGTAAAGCACACGATTTTCATTTTCAATTTGAATTGTTTTGTGTAAAAACAAAAAGGTTTTGGTCAGGCTGCAAAATAGTAATTTTAAGTCCCAGAGCTAGGGTTTTTCCCCACCCAAATGGTGAACATTTATGGTGAAAACCTCCAATTTCCTCTTACAGTAAACATGAAAATTATGATTTCACTCAGAGCCTGCATCTTTTTCCAATCTTAATGGCAAGAATCTGCATACACTTGCTTGTGGAAATGTCATAAATTGGCCTTGGATCAATTCCTCAAAGATAGTACACACCAAAGTGCCACTTTCAAATTTTTAGCCCTCGTGAAATAAGATTTTACTCTTCTCAATGATGTTTGCCTTTCCACATTCAGGGCTGACAGCAGAGGGATAAGCAGGGATATCTTCCTATAAAATTAAACCACTTCATTACATATTATTCTGAAGAGTGAACAAAAAGATATGAACATTTTAGTAAAATGATGATATGATTTCGCCACCTTAAAAATTATATGAGCATTTGGTCAATGGATATGGAATGAATCCTGTACCCTCTTAGTAACTTGATCTAAATTAATAAACAAATGTTTTTCTTTTCACTTGTGCCATATGTTGATCCCAGTTACATGGGCAGAAAGAGGCAGCTTGTAATGTTTCTTAAAGGATTAAACACTGTTTTGCATACGGGAGTATGCAGATGCAGGAGTAGATGTGGGGTAAAATGTGTTCCATGGTTTCTTTGTGTTTTAGGAAGCTTGATTTCAATTGTTTGTTTCATGTGACATGAACCTTTTTTATTTAACTTAGTAGCTCCCGTAGATACATGCTAGGAGAAAAACATTCTGTGAACAGCTTTCACTAGCAATTAACTCCCTGCCCCTCCCCAAACTGAAAATGGTGCTGCTTTCATTCATTTTGAAAGGTCCAAAGTGGCAGAAAGCATGTTGTCTACAAGACCTAACTCTCTTCCAAAAGGGAAAAAAATAAGTCTCTGCTTTAATGAAATAAGGGATGTTGTGGATGTTAACCAAACAGAGACACGTTCAAGTGGCAGTCTGGTTTCCAAAAACAAAGGCCTACGAGTCACATATTATTCTACGTGAAAATAAATTGATAGACAACAAGATGAGAAAAAGTTGATACACAACATTTGAAATGTTTCACCTTGACTTTTTCCCCCCAAGTCGATTTTGTTGTCTTGAAGAGCTCAAAGGCATATGGTCCAGATAAGCAGACATTCTTGGGACTTGTTTTTATTAACCCTGAAAGTCATTTGCCATTAAATAGAATTGAGTTCTTTTGTTGTTTCGCTTGTGTCTGTCCTTGGCAGAGGTGGTTGCTACTTCTCTTGACATTCAGATTTTGATGTTCTCTTTTGTTTTCAGGGTAAGACGTGACCTTTTGAGGTGACTATAACTGAAGATTGCTTTACTGAAGCCAAAAAAGGTAAATGCAAATGTGATTAGTGAAGTTATATCCAGGGCTGTGTCTTTTGCCTTCCAGGCATTTTAATTCAGTTGTTTTTTGGTCTGTATTTGTCAAATAAACATGTATTTATTTGCGTGTGAGTACATATGTGGTGTATTTTTGGAAGTCCTAAGAAAAACGGTTGCCCTTAAGAAATGGTCTACAGATTCACATTTCCCCCCCAAATATTATCAAACTCTTCTCTTTTTGTTGAAGCTGAACTTATTTTTATTTTTTAAATTATGTTTTGCTTGTTGACTTGGTAGGTTTAAAGTTAGAAAGGAATATTCACATCACAAAAGTGGTGATTCATAAAATTAACTTGCTGCAAACAAGAGTAACGCATGTCAGTATTGTGTGTTGAAGTGGTGTCATCCGATTGATGTTCATCTGGCGGCTTTATAATCACCTTCTTTCAGAAATTAACAGTCAGGCACCATAGCAACACGCCACATTGGTGTAACTGCTGAGCAGTGTGAGGCACATCCCTGTAATGTCAGCACTAGGCTGCCTTGTTCTCTTGACCTTGCTTGAAAATCAAATGAGTACTTGATTTTAAAATTAGAAGTTTTCAGAGAGACTAATGTAGCTTAATGAATTAAAGCCAAATTTAATGTTTTCAAATTCACTTTTGGGAGGGGGAATGAAAAAGTACTCCAGTTAAAACGGTTGTGGATGCTACATATTTACTTGATTTCAGAAGTACCTCTCTGATAAACGTGGTGATCATCTTACACAAGATAATTCTTCCGGTCATTTTAACATCTGATATTTCTCAAGCAGTAGCATCTTCGTTTCATTTGGAATTTTGGCCTTTAATAGTTCCATTTGATTTAGTAGATTTGTGTCTGTTTAAAAACAGGGTACCTGCCCGCATGGTTGAACAAAGGCTTTGCTGAGATTTTACTGAAGTTTATGTATTTGCCAGATACAGACTTCTTGTTGAGTTGAACAGAGTTTTTTTGTGGAACTTTCATAATGTGAAGAATCTTTGATCAGATTTTGATAAATCTCACCTGGAGCTTGGGGGAGTTCTAGAATGCATATATATAAAGGGTATGGATTTGTTTTTGTAGTTGCATTCTGGCACATTTAATTTGGGCCAGAAAAATCAGACTTCCATCATTTCACCTTCTATATTGTTTAAATGAAACCTTTGCAGGATCTACCTAATTGTATTTCAAAGAGGACAAACATATGTTTCAGATGTTTCGGCATGGAAGGAATTGATTCCCAACCAGTAATTGGGATTATCAGGTCACAACAAAACACTTCCCTTTGCTGGGGCTCAATTTTCTTTTTCTTTTCTTTTTTTTTTTGTTTTTTTTTGAGACAGAGTCTCGCTCTGTTGCCCAGGCTGGAGTGCAGTGGCAGGATCTTGGCTCACTGTAACCTCTGCCTCTCAGTTTCAAGTGATTCTCCTGCCCTACCCTCTCAAGTAGCTGGAATTACAGGCGCTCGCCATCACAACCAGCTAATTTTTGTGTTTTTAGTAGAGACGGGGTTTCACCATGTTGGTCAGGCTGGTCTCAAACTCCTGACCTCGTGATCCGCCCACCTTAGCCTCCCAAAGTGTTGGAATTACAGGCATGAGCCACCACACCTGGTCTGAACTTTCTAATCTTTAAAAGGAAGGCATTAATCTATATCAGGGGTCTGCAAACTTTTTCTGTCAAGGGCCACATAGTAAATATTTTCTATTTGTAGGGGTATTCAGCCTCTGTTGCAGTTACTCAGCAAGGCGGTAATTTGCTGTCTCCTGGTCTCTGTAATCTCACAGAGTGATCTCAATCCAAGATGCTCCTCATGCAAAGAGGTGCCACGTGTTTAACTCATCTCCTACTGTCAGCAGAGGTTTCTGGCAAAGCTGAAAATTATGATTAAACAGGCCAGGCATGGTGGCTCATGCCTGTAATCCCTGCACTTTGGGAGGCTGAGGTGGGTGGATCACCTAAGGTCAGGAGTTCAAGACCAGCGTGGCAAAACATGGTGAAACCCCATCTCTACTAAAAATACAAAAATTAGCTGGACGTGGTGGTGGGCTCCTGTAATCCCAGCTACTCAGGAGGCTGAGGCAGGAGAATCGCTTGAACCCAGGAGGTGGAGCTTGCAGTGAACCAAGATTGCACCACTGCACTCCAGCCTGGGAGACAGAAAGAGACTCTGTCTCCCCCAAAAAAAAAAAAAAAAATTAAAAAGATTAAACAAAGCTGAAAAAGTGGTAGAAAAGATGAAAATTTAGCCTGAGAGTTGGCTTATCCATACAGCTCCAAATACAACCTTCACTGATGGGTTTTCATTTGTTGTTTGTATTGATTTTGTATTTTTTGTAATCACCTGTAAGCATGAATTATTTTTCTTCTGACTCAATGTCTTTATAATATCCATTCTTTCACCTATTACCTGAAAATGGAAATGCAGTCCCCACCCCCCCTAAATTCTGTAATATTATTGAAAGTTCAAAATACCATAGGTCAAGGGAAAATTTGGAAAGAAATGTTTCTAGAAATTTGTGATTGGCATTGCCTGAGAAAGATAGTCCATATTACCAAAAAAAAAAAGTTTTCTTCATAATCACTATCAAGTGCATGATCTATTATATTATTTAATATTGTGCAAATAAGGCCCTTCCTTGTAAAATTTCTTGATCATAAAAGTATTTTATGTGCTCAGTCTCTCTAGTTGTTCTCTACTTTCAGCTTTTTTTGTTGTCTTTGTCTTTGTTCTGTATACATTGTCTTTGTCTGTTCGGTGTTGCTAGAAAGGAATACCTGAGGCTGGGTAATTTATAAAGAAAAAAATTTATTTGGTTCATAATTCTGCAGACTGTACAAGAAACATGGGGCAGCATCTGCTTCTAGTAACGACCTCAGGAAGCTTCCAGTCATGGCAGAAGGGGAAGTTTGGAAGAGGCGTGTCACATGACAAGAGAAAAAGGAAGCTTGGAGGGAAGGGGAGCCAGGCTCTTTTTAACAACCAGATTTCTCATGAACTAATAGAGCAAGAACTCAGTCATTACTTTGGGGAAGACTCTGAGCCATTCATGAGAGATCTGCCCCCATGACCCAAACACCTTCTATTGGCCGGTCCTCTCACAATTGGGGATCAGATTTCAAGATGAGATTTGGAGGGGATGGATTTCCAAAGTATATCATACATCATCTTCAGTATTCCTATTCCAAGTGAACATTTCATTACTTAACACTTTTTCTTTTACAGTATCCATTCCATCTGTGTTTTGATGCTAATTTCAAATTTTGGGGAGAAATAAGTTAGGGTATATAGACTCAAGTAGTATACATAATTTTTACTTTTGAACAAGGTAAAAGATCTTTCAAAGACTAATTTGTATATATCTTGATCTCTTATCTAGGAAGAAATAAAAGGGAAATACACAATTTAAAAAGATGTTTCAAGTGAGTATAGTGGTTAGCATTTCTTCCTGATGAGTAAGCCTTAAATGAGAAGACCTTGCCATCCAGCAATGGACAAAAAAATCAGCATCATCTTTCACACTGCAAGAAGCATGTAGACTTCAGATGCCAGGAGCTTCTCAGTAAATAACATGCCCCAAATTTGAAACCGGGGAATTATTAACAGTCAGTATAGATGCACAGAAATATGCCTACAAAGGTACTATGGAAATAACTGATTATATACATAAAAGTAGCCAGACAAATTCAGAAAACCAGATGAAGCGATTTTGAAAATTTAGATTCTAAGGTCTGAAGAGTCATAAATAACAGTCATCATACTCGGTAGTGATATAACAATTTTCTTCCAACTAGATCTGAGTGCTTTACAAAATGGGTCTGGTTGCTGGCATTCCTAAGAGGTAGCTGGCAATTCTTATAATTCCCACTTTACAGACTGGAAAAATGGTCCCGTTGATGATAAATAGTTTACCTAAGGTCATCCAGAATGTCAAGATGGAAACTAAAGAGAGACGCACTGGTCACAATTATACAGATGTCATTCTATTATGGTTGCCTTGGTTTGGTGATCTAATAAAGGTTTATGTGGCATTTTTCCCTGCCTCCCTTCACCATTGACAATTTACCCTCATGCATTTGCTTAAAATTCAAATCCAATTTGTAAAATTCGTCATCTTCAATTCTGAATGGCATTGAGAGTTGAAGATAATCATCAAGACCGCATAGATTACAATTAAAATGGTTATTTTTAAACATTAGGTATCTCCAAGCTTCACATTTTATGTGTTGGTCCAGTTTCTTTTTAAAGTCAAGTTATTTGAGAGAAAATTAAAAAACAATCAAAGGGAAGTATAATCATTGCAATTTCCCCCCGCATCCCTAATTTGAGCTGTTTTATGTTAGATGAAGGAATATAAATGCATCCTTATAGATAACATTCATCGTGTCTTACCTATTATAAATTATTTCTTGGTGAAAAATAAAGCTAAAATGCTCTTCATTTATTTGAAGTATAAGTTCCTTTAAAAGTATATATGTGAGTGATTTGAATACTTACCTAAAGACAACAGCAATTCTGAGCTAAACCCATTCAAAACTACCTTTTCTAGTAGTTAGCATTTGAATTATGTGACTGTTAATTAAGGAAGATGTTATGAAGACACTGTAAGCAGTCGTCATTGAGTTACCAGATGACCGTATTGGCTGGAATGTGATCAGTCAATTCAGTTAAGCATTGAAATGCTCCCTGACCGCCCCTGCTCCCCGCACATACATATAGTATACTCATGCCTGGGTTGTAACAGTCAGGGTAAAGATGAGGCTGGTGTAACAAAGAGATCCAGTGTAAAATGGCTTAAATAAAATAGAAGCCTACTTCTCTCATGAAACAACCTGACCAATGTAGCTTGTTTGGGCAGATTCTTTCTGTCTGTGCTCTCCTCCCTTCGGGCTTTGTCCTTATCATAGGGTTGAAGCTATGTTGTTGCCGCACTGTGGAGATGTCCAAAGCAAGCAATTTTCTTGTAATCAAAAGAGTTAAATGTT